TGGGAGAGAAAAGAAGAAAAAAGGATAAAGTCGTTAAAAAAGAAATAGAATGGCTGGGTGTAGAGGCACACACCTTTAATCCCAGCACTTTGGAGGCAGAGGCAAGCAGATCTTTGTGATTTCAAGGCCAGACAGGTATAGAGAGTGAATACCAGGACAGGCAAAAGTATGCAGAGAAACCCTGTCTCAAAAAATGAAAAATAAAAGTAAAGAAATAGAGTAATAAAAAAGCCACATAGAGATGGAAAGTATACAAAGAGTCTGGATTGTGTTGTCTTTGAATTGTTTAATTTTTGAGGAAAAGCAACAGCTGCTAACAGACATTTGATTATAAATGCTGCTGGATTAACCCAACCTATATATTTTGAAAATGCTTTGACTTCAAAATTTAAGTCTAAGGACAGGTTACTTTGAAAAGAGATTCTGTTTTTGTTTGACAGAAAATGAAAAGCTGTGGATTCCATCCAGACTAATATGGTTGGATCAAGCAAGATCCTCTGAAGCAGTGGTCCAAGCAATCCAACATCCAAAACAACTGAGATGATGCAGCCTCAGACTAAGACAGCTAGTATTTTGACAGGTTTCTGGGTTTTCCCAAGATCCCCATGGTACTGACAGCACTCCCAAATGGCAAGAAGCAGTTTGGAGGAATGACACCCAAATTTCCAAATATTGTTTATAAATGTTTGTTTAATTTAGTTGGGGTTGGTTATAATGGTTAATGAACACAGTCAATCTTTTAAAGGAAAAAAAGGGGGAATATTACTAGAATGGATTTTGATTATTGATACAAATTTAAGGTCGATTGTTATGTGTATATTTCTCTTCTTGTGTAGATATTATGTTTATACAGTTTTTTATTTTAATTTTAAATAGCTTGTTTTACATGTCAATCCCAGTTCACTCTTCCTCCCCTCCTCCTGCACCCCCCACCATCGTAATGTATAATTAAATACAGATTATATTCACCTATTGTAGTCGAAACTTATAGTTATGTTAGTTAATTTTTCTAGACATACAGAGATATATTTGAGATGGATAGATTGTCTTTAAACCTTTCAAAGACATATAGAATATGTCATTTAAAATGGTTTAGGGTTTTTCGTGACAGTGAGATACAACTGCTCCTGGCAATACCAATTACGTCAGAGATGATGGGCATCGAAGAAACTTATTATAGAGTTTCAATATGGCAAGACTAACCATTTTGGTGAGAAATTGTTCTTGCCTAGACTGTTTGACTGTATGATGTATAAATTGGAAATGCAGGACCCACAGAAAAGAGACTGCTGAACTTGATAAAACAAGATTACGGTTCCTGCTCCATGGGAAGAGTGTGTCAGACATTCTGCAGGACACAGAGAAAAATGACTGGCAAACTGCCAACACAGACAGACAGTTTTAAATTTCCTGCTTTGATGAGAAGTCTGCCAGACATACTAGGCCTGTTGGCTGAAGATGGGTGCCCCAACCTTACAGAAGAACGTCAAGTGACTGTCCAGGCAGCAAGATGACTTTGTCAGTTCTGGAGTTTATATATTGTCCTTCTGTGGTCTTTGATGGAGTTGAAGACAGATAGATTTAGTTATCCTTAGTTATGATAAAATGTAAGTTACATATAAAATTTTAGACTCACAAAGATAGATGATTGATTATTTTCCTTAAATTTTGCCAAACGTTAATGGAGTAAATATTGTCAACTAAAGTTCTTACTTGATAACTGTTTTGTTATATGTAATTTTACTATTAAAGTTAAAACCTTTTTATTTAGATAAAAGAGTGGAGATGATGGGAGATGTCCTTCTGTATATATGTTTCTCTTATTGGTTGATGAATAAAACATTTTGGCCAATAGAGGCAGGAAGATAAGCATGACTAGGAGATGAGGAGAATTCTGGGAAGGTAGGCAGAGAGAGATGGTAAGGAGATGCCATGAAAGGACCAGGAGGATAAGACTCGCCATGCATTCTCCTGTAAGATAAGGCCATGTAGAAACATATAGATTAGTAGTTATGGGTTACTAATTAAGATAGAGCTAGCCAGTAAGAAGTCCTAGACAATAAGCCAACAATTTAATAATTAAATTATTAGCTTTTGTGTGTTTATTTTGGGGCTGAAAAGAGGGCAGCAGGACCTGGTGGGATAAGTGGGGGTGATGGGTTGGGAGGATTGGGGGATGGGGGAGGAAGGGAGGGAGAGGGAACTGAAAGTGACATGCCTAAAAAGTTAAATAAAAAAATATATGGAAAAAAAAGAAAACTCAAGCAATACTGTGTCTACAGATTAGAACTCTGTTATGAGTTATTTAATGCATAATATACATGTGTAGGTGAATACATGTCATATTTGTCTGTCTGCATTACTTCACTAAAGATGATTTTGCATCAGTTTTAATTTGTACAGGTATTCCCATGATGATCATGACTTCTAATAGATTACTGAATCAGCCTTTTCAGAACTCAAATCAATTGCCCAATGCCATTCCAAAAATGAACCTACTGTATGTATATATATTTTAAATTTCCCAAATCTACAAAATGAAACACATACATTTGCCAAATTTCATCTCTCTGAATACTTTTAGGGATACTTCCTGTAGGTAGTGGAGTTTGGTTTTAGAAGGAACAAGTAGGACTTTTTAAAAGATTTCCTGGGCTAGTTGCCAAATTACAGAAAAATCCTTTTATTAACCTAGGCTATTTGCATGGTAGTTTTTTATGAGATTCAGAGACTTCCAGTGCACTACCTGTTAAGAACTGATCAATTTCATCATTACATTATGCTACAGAGGACCTAACAGATCCATAGGCGATCTGATGTGATGTGTGTGTGTAAGTGTGTGTGTGTGTGCATGCGTGCGTGCGTGCGTATGTATGCATATATATGTATATATATACATAAATATATATATGATTTTTATTCCTGACTATTTGCTGTAATTGTATAAAAAGGTTAATTCTGTTTATCAGGAATAAAGTCAGCAGTTTCAAAATGTAAAAACAAAACAAAACAAAAAACTCTTTGTGTATATTGAGAGCCAGTTAACTATATGGAAAGGTTCTTTATGATCTATTAACACCATAAGTATCCCATACAATTCTGACTTTTGTATAGAGAGCTTTGAGTCACTTTGCTAAAATTTCCTGGTTTATATCCTACCTTACATGATTTATTTGCATCAGTACAGAATGTAGGGACTTTAGAGATTGGTGTTCTCCATACAGTACGTTGAAGAACCCAATGGTTGTTTTTATGAACTTAATTCTCTAATCTTCCCCCAAAATTATAAATTTCCTTATTAGTTATATGTACTACACTTTCTCCTGTGTTCATTCCTTCCAGTTGACAAAGTCTTAGTTTTCCTTTTAAATATCAAATCAGAAGTCTTTTGAAATATGACTTTAGTTTATTACTCTGATTATGTAGTAGAAATATATATTCTAATATCTTCCCCTGCATCAAAATCCCTGTAAGGGGTTGCCTAGTGTATACTACAACCAGAATGCACTTAAGCTTTTGATATGCATGATCCACATTTAAATTCCATAGATTTTTTCCATAAAAGCCAATTCTCTTTTAGCTTCAGCCGGTTATTCTCTTGGACTCTCGAGGTTCTTATCCCCATCATCTACAGTAATGATAAGATTGCTCAGTCCATCAGATTTTATTCCAATAATGAGTTGCAAATAGGAAATCTCTCCTAATAATCTGTGATTGTCACTAAGACTCCATAATTGATCTCTCCTGAATCGTACATTTTGGGGGTCTAATTTTTCATAGACATTTTATATCCTAAATAATTAAATACAATCTCCTCTTTCCTCTTTGTATTTTTTTTTCAGGAGCAATTTTTAGTACTAAGAAAGGCAAAATTTTCATTACTTCTTTCAACATTTTTTCTAAAGTATCTACCTTTGAATCTACTAATAATATATCATCCATATAAGGGCCAATTATAGATTGTGGAAATTGAATTTTTTCCATGGTTTTTGCACATAATATTGGCACAGGGTGAGGCTATGCCCGCCCACCCCTTTGATGTTATAGTCATATTGATATCTCTTGAACAATTGTTGTTATAATCCCACAACAGTGTTTCCTAATTCCATCTATTTGCCTACAATTTTCATGATGTCGTACTTTTAAAGAGCCTAGTAATACTCCATTGAGTAAATGTACCACATTTTTTTATCCATTCTTCTTTTGGAGGACATCTAAGTCATTTACAATTTCTGGCTATTGTGAATACAGCAGCAATAAAATGACTGAGCAAGTGTCCTTGTGGCAAAATGACACACACCTTGGGTATATACCCAAAAGTGATGGAGATAGATCTCGAGGTAGACTAGTTCTCATTTTTCTGAGGAACTGTCATACTGATTTTCCTAGTGGCTGTACAGATTACACTCCTAACAACAATGTAGGAGTGTTTCCCTTGTTCCACAGTGGATTAGTATTCCAACTAAAGAGAACTAAATAAATAATATTGATTGCATATTGTACATATTTACATGTATAGTTTGGTAATAAATAAATATTTTATGACTTGTAGTTATGTATTCTTAGTTGTACTGTTGAAATTTTTACTAATCTTATTTTCTCAGGACCAATGTTAGATAATCATAGAGGACTGACATTTTTTTATGAGACAGGGTTTCTCTGTATTGTTTTGGAGGCTATCAGTCCAGCCCGGCCTCGAAGAGGACTGACATTTTTACCAGGGACATTTTTTACTTTGCTAGGAAGGAAATAGTACTACCTCACTGAAGATTTCCCTTAAGATATGTCTTTTGAGAATCATTAGTGGCAATGATATATATATTAAAACACAGAGTGAATATTAAAAGATAGCCTTTGAAAAGTATATTGAATTTACATATTAACAATGTGGCATATTACTAAATAAGATTAACTTTTATATCTAAAATATGTAATTTCTTGAATTGAATTCAGTCATTAATTTTGTCGACTTACAGGTTTCCCTTTCTGTCTCTTTTTAGGCTGTACTTTGGAGGTTTAAATTTTCTCAGCTTAAAGGTTCATCTGATGACGGCAAAAGCAAAATAAAATTTTTGTTTCAGAATCCAGATACTAAACAAATTGAAGCAAAGGTAAACAAAAGAAAACCATTGCATAATACATTTCTAATTACATCAGTGCCATGAAGATGAAACGAGGAGAACTTTTAGGACTAATAACCACAAGTTTCTCTGCTTACCCTGAAATATCCTTGTGATGCTAGACTAATTTTATTGTAAGACTTTTAGTGACAGATTTTCACTGAAAGGCATCACCTCAGATAAATTATATTCAACTGATTCTGAGTATCAATTTTAATGTAGCATGAACTGGAAATATGTGAAATTAGAACATCACAAGACCTGAAGGTGCCATATGGCTGTTTCTTAATTTAAAAAATAATTTTAAAATCTATCTGCTTCACAATAATCAATCAAAATTTTAATATCAGTATAAATTTGCAAAGAAAATGGTTTTAAACAAATCCTAAGTAATTTCTAAATAATTACTCTTTGAAGAACATGAATTAGTCAATGAATTTTCACATTGATATATGTAAGTTATAGTAAACTGGAATATGATAGCTATGTTGTTAGCTCAATAAAAATTTTAAACAATTTTATATGTTTAAATATTAACACCTGCAAAAATTCAAAATTTAATTTGCTCCCATTACACCGTAATGAAATTGATAGTAAGACTGTTTAAATAAATCATAAAAATATTATTCTTCTATGGGAAAAATAAATAATACTAAATAGAAATTTTAATCCTGTGACATAGAAACCCAATATACCTTTTCTTCTGTGAAGTCAAGTTGCCACAATTTATTTTTTAAAGCTTACCTAGCTTCATCAAGCGTAACTCAGTTTACCATGCTGTACACTTTCTGTTTGGAAGCATTCATTTTACCAAGGTGGCCCTGCTTTGTCTTGCATATATGTCCATGCCTTTTTACTCCCTTCCTTTTTCGTGGCTGCATCTTTCTTGAGAACTCTCTCCTTCGTTTATATTTGTCTTTGTTGAAGTGGAAACTGTAGTCCTAGCTTTCATGTACTCATTCCTGCTCTTTCACATCTCCAAAGCGTGGGTGTAAGCACATTCTCGCCTTGCATTCGATTGGAAAAGCACCTTTTACACAGGCTTTACTTGTGGCTTAGTTTCTGGGCCCATACTCTGCTGTCCCCTCCTCCCTCCACAGTCCTTCCCTTTGTTCCTTGCTCTTTTTTTTTTCTCCCCAGATACCAGAGAATCATCACAGTGCTAGCACTTATGCAGCTCTTTAAAGTGGTTTTTGGTGTTTGTGTGAATGCATATTAATGTAATTTTACTTACATTGTTTGACTTTCTTAAGTTTTAAAAATTCTGCACACATGTGAGAGTTTGCAACAGCAGTGCAATATTTGGCTTTTAGTTGTTACTTTTCTACCATTCTTTAACAATTTAAGAAAAATACTTACCAAATGAGTTAGAATTGTAAAATTCATTCAGTAACTGCTACTCAGTTTTATTCTTCAACTTAACATACCCAAACCTATGGGACACCTTGAAAGCAGTGCTACGGGGGAAGTTCATAGCACTAAGTGCTCACATGAAGAAACAGTAAAACAGTTATACCAGAGAATTAACATCACAGCTAAAAGCTCTAGAACACAAAGAAGCAAACTCCCCCAGGAGGAGTAGAAGCCAGGAAATAATCAAATTGAGGGCTGAAATCAACAAAGTAGAAACCAGGAAAACAATACAAAGAATCAATGCAACGAAGAGTTGGTTCTTTGAGAAAATCAACAAGATAGACAAACCTTTATCCAAACTTACCAAACAGCAGAGAGTGAACACGCAAATTAACAAAATCAGAAATGAAAAGGGGGACATAACAACAGACTCTGAGGAAATCCAGAGAATCATTAGGTCATACTTTGAAAACCTGTACTCCACAAAATTCGAAAATTTAAAGGAAATGGATGACTTCCTGGACAGCTATCATTTGCCAAAACTAAATCAAGAACAGATAAGCAATTTAAATAGACCTATAACCCCTATGGAAATAGAAGCTGTCATCAAAAGTCTCCCAACCAAAAAAAGTCCAGGTCCAGATGGCCTCAGTGCAGAATTCTACCACATATTCAAAGAACAGCTTATACCAATTCTTCTCAAAGTGTTCCACACAATAGAAGCAGAAGGGTCTTTGCCAAACTCTTTCTATGAGGCTTCAATAACCTTGATCCCCAAGCAACACAAAGATACAACCAAGAAAGAGAACTTCAGACCAATATCCCTCATGAACATTGATGCAAAAATACTCAATAAAATACTGGCAAATCGGATCCAAGAACACATCAAAACAATCATTCACCACGATCAAGTAGGTTTCATCCCAGGGATGCAGGGATGGTTCAACATACGAAAATCCATCAATGTAATCCACCATATAAACAAGCTGAAAAACAAAAATCACATGATCATCTCACTAGACGCTGAAAAAGCCTTTGACAAAATCCAACACCCCTTCATGATAAAGGTCTTGGAGAGATCTGGGATAACAGGGACATACTTAAACATAATAAAAGCCATATACAGTAAACCAACAGCCAACATCAAACTAAATGGACAGAAACTCAACACAATTCCTCTAAAATCAGGAACAAAACAAGGCTGTCCACTCTCTCCATACCTTTTCAACATGGTACTTGAAGTTCTAGCTATTGCCATACGACAACAAAGGGGGATCAAGGGGATACAAATTGGGAAGGAAGAGGTCAAACTTTCACTGTTTGCAGACGATATGATAGTTTACATCAATGACCCAAAGAACTCTACCAGGGAACTCTTACAGCTGATTAACACCTTCATCAAAGTGGCAGGCTACAAGATCAACTCAAGAAAGTCAGTAGCCCTATTATATACAGATGATAAAAGGGCTGAAAGAGAAATCAGAGAAACATCACCCTTTACAATTGCCACAAACAACATAAAATACCTTGGGGTAACGCTAACCAAACAAGTGAAAGACCTGTATCGTAAGAACTTTGAATCTTTAAAGAAAGAAATTAAAGAAGTCCTCAGAAAATGGAAAGATCTCCCATGCTCTTGGATAGGTAGGATCAATGTAGTAAAAATGGCAATCCTGCCAAAAGCAATCTACAGATTCAATGCTATCCCCATTAAAATCCCAGCACAATTCTTCACAGACCTTGAAAGAACAATAATCAATTTTGTATGGAAAAACAAAAGACCCAGGATAGCCAAAACAACCCTGTTCAACAAGGCAACGTCCGGAGGCATCACCATCCCTGACCTCAAGCTCTATTATAGAGCTATAGTCCTGAAAACAGCTTGGTATTGGCACAAAAATAGACAGGTAGACCAATGGAATCGAATTGAAAACCCGGGTATTAACCCACACACGTACGAACATCTGATCTTTGACAAAGAAGCTAAAAATATACAATGAAATAAAGAAAGCATCTTCAACAAATGGTGCTGGCATAATTGGAGACTGGCATGTAGAAGAATGCGGATCGATCCATGTTTATCGCCATGCACAAAACTTAAGTCCAAATGGATCAAAGACCTCAACATAAATCCAGCCACACTGAACCTCTTAGGAGAGAAAGTGGGTGGTACCCTTGAACGAATTGGTACAGGAGACAGCTTCCTGAACATAACACCAGTAGCACAGACAGTGAGATCAACAATTAATAAATGGGACCTACTGAAACTGAGAAGCTTCTGTAAGGCAAAGGACACAGTCAGCAAGACAAAAAGGCAGCCCACAGAATGGGAAAAAATATTCACTAATCCCACATCTGACAGAGGGTTGATCTCCAAAATTTACAAAGAACTCAAGAAGCAAGTCTCCAAAACAGCAAAGGACCCAATTAAAAAGTGGGCTGCAGAACTAAATAGACAGTTTTCAATAGAGGAGTCTAAAATGGCTGAGAGGCACTTGAGAAAGTGCTCAACATCCTTAGCCATCCGGGAAATGCAAATCAAAACAACTCTGAGATACCATCTCACTCCTGTCAGAATGGCTAAAATCAAAAACACCAATGACAATTTATGCTGGAGAGGATGTGGTGAAAGGGGGACACTCCTCCATTGCTGGTGGGAGTGCCAACTGATTCAGCCACTTTGGAAAGCAGTATGGAGATTCCTCAGAAAAATGGGAATAAACCTACCACAAGACCCAGCAACTCCACTCTTAGGCATATATCCAAAAGATGCCCATTCATACAACAAAGATGTCTGTTCCACTATGTTCATAGCAGCTTTATTTGTAATAGCCAGAACTTGGAAGCAACCTAGATGTCCCTCACCCGAAGAGTGGATAGAGAAAATTTGGTACATCTACACAATGGAGTACTATTCAGCAGAAAAAAATAATGGAATCATGAGATTCGCAGACAAATGGATGACACTAGAAGAAACCATCCTGAGTGAGGTAACCCAGTCACACAAAGAGAAACATGGCATGTACTCTCTCATATATGGATTTTAGACATAGATCTGGGGAGTGCCAGCCTACAGTCCCATGGCCAGAGAGTCTGGGAAACAGAAACTACATTTAGTGGCTGGTTAAGTACTGAGCTGAACTCAAGAAAGCCAGTATCAGAGAGGGAGGACTGATGATCAAAGGGATTAAGACTGGGCTGGTTTAACCCCCAGAAACAGCTGACCAGACAAAGGTTAACTCTTGAATCCCAGGCATCAGCCTGGGAATCCAGCATGGGACTGATCAAGACCCCCTGAATCTGGGTGTCAGTGAGGAGGCCTAGGGAATCTATTGAGCCTTGGGCAGCAGATCAGTACCCATCCCAAGTATACACACGGACTTTGGACTCCCATAGAACAATGTGAGGTGCACTCTCACCCTGAACTCTTGGGGAAGGGTCTAGGCCCTGCCCTATATGAAATGACAGACTATGGACACCCCCATGGAGGGCCTCACCCTCCCTGGGGGAGTGAGGGGATAACGGGGGAGGGATGGGGGGAGGGCACGGGAGGAGGGGAGGGAAAAGGAGAGGGACCTGGAACTGACTTGTGAAGCAACCTTGTTTCTTATCTAAATTTTAAAAAAAGAATAAAAAAA